GACTAGACGAACATCTTGCTCTTTCCTGCCATGGCAGGGGGTCGGACTAGATGATCTACTCAGGTCCCTTCCGACCCGACCAACTATGAAACTATAGCAGCCACAGTGTTTTTGCTTTTTAGATTTCCAGTAAGATAACATATTCAGACTATGTTGGTGAAAAAGTTGTAACGGGATAAGAGCTGAGAAAGCAGGTCGGTAAATGTGGCCTTTGCTTGGAAGCCCAGACTGGTGCAAGAGGCCTGAGGTAGCTGACAAGAGTCATTTGCTTTTACTTGCAGTTGCAAAGGTTTTTCTCCGGATGGTGTCTGTGCCATTTGATGTTTGAGGAAATGAACATGCTTACAATGCAAAATTGTTTCACGCGTTTCCATTCCTAAAACATGTCGAGTTGTTTGGCTGTGGGTATTTTTGTTTGCAAAGGGAAATTACACCCACTTTGCTGGTAGAGGAAAGGCAGCTCAGGTCGAAAACAGGCTCTGGGCTGCTTTTTTTTTCTTCTTTTCTTGATAGGAGCAGGTCATGGAGATGGGCTGATTGTCGAGGAAGAAGCTCAATATTCATGGCTGTGGCCCCTATAAGTGGCTTGCTGAGCTGCTTAAGAGGAAACCCTCCCCTCTTCAGTGTCAGGCCATCTTGGGGCGTGGACAGAAGTATTTTAGGAAATGTGCTGGGAAATGTTTCAGCCAGTCCCTATGGTGTTTCCTGCTTGAACGTTTCAAAACTGCCACAGTCGAGAGGCACTAGAGGGTCCAGAAGATGTCTCTGGAGGGTGGCCAGGAATTTCCAGCTCTCTGCTGCCGGGATTTTGACTCTCCAGCCCCAGTCTGCTCTCTCTCGCCCTTTTATGGGAGCAGACCTAATAGCTGTACAGTCTGCAGGCTGTCACTCAGCCTGAGCACTGCCTGCATTGCTTCTTCCTCTCACCCCCTTTATGGAGGGGGTAGAGAGGGAACAGAGCACCATGGGATACTGGAGGACTTACAGTTCTCCTGTCTCTTTAAATACCTAACAAAAACTGAAACGCTTCAAAATATTCCTCATTTAAAGAGGTACTGTTTTGAAGTGCTTCATCTGCTTCCAGAGCATTTGAAAGGGCGCGTATGTTTGTACAGCTCTGTGTATTGGACCTGTGCTTTATGATGACAGTAACCTGCATGTGTGGTGGTGAACTCCTAATTAGACCTTTCCTAAATGACTTTCTGTGAGCAGATGGGCAAAGTGGATAGGAAGCCTCTGGATGATGCATGTTTAAAGTTGAAGTTCCAAAGTGAGGTTTTGGGATCAGAAACATGGATGGATTTCAGCATTTATTTCCTAGAAAGTGTTGCAAAGTGATATTTTTAATGCGGGCTCTAATCTCACCTTTGGCTGCTGTGGTTCTGTCTCCAGATACCCAAACACCGCCTGTGAACTGCTGACCTCTGATGTGCCACAGATCAATGACAAGCTAGGAGGGGATGAAACCTTGTTGAATATCCTTTATGACTTCCTGGATCATGAGCCACCTTTGAACCCTTTGCTTGCCAGTTTCTTCAGCAAGACCATTGGGAATCTCATTGCAAGAAAAACTGAACAGGTAGCAATTACGTCTGCTTTGCTGCAGGCAGACAAATATTAACAGCATGTACATTCTGTGATGGTATTAACACTGCATGGCAATTCTTGCCCTCCTCTGCAGATGGGAAAAATAAGGCTTGTTGCCAGCCTTCCCATTTTGATGTGAATTTTTTATGTACCTAGACACAATTATAAACTTTTTCCTCCAGACCGGCAGTTGTCTACAGTACTGTATGTTTATCCATCCTCTGGACTTTACACTTACAGTTTGGTTATGACCTCAGTCATGCATGTGTCTTGCCGAGAAAAGAGAGGCTGAGATGCTTGGCATAGAGCACTGGTTTTCATGGTTTCATAGTAGCTAGGGTCAGGAGTGACCTGAACAGATCTTCGTATTTGCTGTTGATCTCCCCTGATGAGTTTGTAGGCAGCCACCAGGTCCCCTCTCAGCCTCCTCTTACTGAGGCTGAAAAGGTTCAGGTCCCTCGGTCTCTCCTCATAGGTCCTGTCCTGCTGCTTTCTCACCAACCAGGTGGCCCTCCTCTGAGCCCTCTCCAGGCTGGCCACATCCTTTTTAAAGTGCGGTGCCCAGTACTGGATGCAGTACTCCAACTGTGGCCTGACTAAAGTTGCATAGAGTGGGAGGATCACCTCTCTGGACTGGCCTGAGATGGATCTTTGGATGCATGACAAAGTATGGCTGGCCTTGCTGGCTGCTATCTGGCATTGGCGACTCATGTTCATCTTGGAGTCAATAATGACTCCAACACCCCATTCTGTGCTTTCAAGAGGGAACCCCCCAGCTTGTATGTATGGTGTGGATTCCTTCTCCCAAGGCGCAGCACCCTGCATTTGTCCACGTTGTTCTGTCTTTTTTCTCAGGAAGAATTATTTATACTAGTAACTGTTTCATGTTAGGATTGGCTGGTTGAAAGAAGGGCTTGGGGTGTAATGGGAGTTTTGTAGTGTTGCTGACATGTTGGACAGAGAGCTCATGTGTGGCTTTTTTTTTTTTAGGTGATCACATTTTTGAGGAAAAAAGATAAATTCATTAGCCTGGTGCTAAAGCACATTGATACGTCTGCAATGATGGATCTGCTGCTTCGTCTGATCAGCTGTGTGGAGCCAGCACCTCTACGGCAGGAAGTATTAAATGTGAGGGCTTCTCTCACCTCTCCCCGTGGGAGCAGAGGGGAATGCTTTTTCCAAGGAATTATGGCTCCTTTTTTCAAGAGATTAGATAGGTCCTTTTTAAAGGACAGTCTTTCTCCTTTGCGCTAAGGAGCACAGATCTGCAGGAGCTGCATGCCTGCAGCCGGGGGCCAGGACCAGCCCTGTGGTCAGCAGGGGAATCCTCTGCTTGCTGAAGTTCCTGTCACACTTCTGTTCTTCTGGGTGCCGCATTAGCAGCAGCTCTGTCAGCCCCTCCCTGCCACAGAGCTCGTCTGAGGGAGATTGCTGCTCTTTCCACACTTTCATAGTAATAATTTGGCTTTGGTGCCTGGTGTCTTGCAGGTGTCAGGGATAGAGCGAAGCCAAGGAAAGGCTGAAGGAAGGGTCTGTGTCTCCTGCACTCACCCTTGTTGAGTGTCTCATGAGCTGGGCTGGCCCTGTGGGTAGGATTCAGTTTTCCTGGCAGGATTGGGAAAGAAGTGGTTCTAGTTCCATGTGTGTGAGGGGGGCATGCCTGATAAAGGAGTGCACCTGAGTTGCTGAAGCCTGCAGCAGGAGTCGCATCTGGCTGCAGAGCACATCTGTCTCCCCTATACCTGCTGTGCCGATAAAGTGGTGCCACCCCCTGCTACCTTTGAATCCTTACCTGAAGCATTCCTGCTGCTGTCCCAGACAGGTCTACATGGGGAACCTGTTCACTTGGGCCATATAGATCTCATTCAAGAAAGGGGCAGAGCTTCTGGGGAGCATATCCTTCTGATGAGGACCAGCTCCTCCTTTGAGAAGCTTGGAAGGGACCTGCATAGGGGTGCAGAGACAAATATGCCCAGCCTGGAGGATGTAGTGATCATTAGCTGCTTGAAATGCTTTCAGAGCAGTGTTTGACCCCAGGCTTCCAGTGCTTTTGAAGCAGGAATCGGGGGGTAAGCTGCCCATGGGGAAATAAGGGAATAACAAAATCAGCACTTGATTTCCTCCACAGCCAGGACTCTTGTTACCCTCTGAGAGAGCAGCAGGAAGGATAATCTGGTTTCCCTGCTTGCCCTCATGGTGTGCTGCACCAGCTGGTCAGTGCAGGGAAGGGCAAGCTGCAGACATATGCTGGTTCTCGCCATATGTGCGCATGCTCCCGGAGGGATCTCGTTCCTCCCCAAGGCAGGAGGCCTGCAGTCCAGGTTGGTTAGAAAATCACATACCAAAAGCAGACCTGCTAGAGCAGTGTTTTTCAACCTGTGGTTTGGAGACCCTTAGGTGTCCGCAGACTGTCTAAAGGGTCTGCAAAAAATGACTATGATCAATCATAAGTATGTGAATACCCACACTTACAATTCAGAGGGGTCTGTGGCTCTGTCTGAAATTTCCAAAGGGGTCCACACCTCTATGCAAAGATGTTTAGGGGTACGCAAAAGAGAAAAGGTTGAAAACCACTGTGCTAGAGGATGGATTCTGCCAGGCAGTCATGTACCACTTAACATGCCGCTGTGCTTAGGGGATCACTAGTTGCTCTGCCATAAATTCCTCCTCCTGCCCACTGGAAGATGTAATAGAGGGGCAGAGACATCCTGTTGCATGTAAGAGATTGGTGAAATATCAGACTAGTTTCCCCAGCTGCTGCAGTGAGTCATCAGGCCCTCCTATTCAGGTTCCTGCTCCCAGCTTCTGTTTTAGATTGCCTTCATTTCCTCCCCCATGAGATAATATGAAGCAGCGAGAAGGACAGCAGCGTAAATGTGGAAGAACCAGCAGGTGTGAAGCGACCTCTTGGCCCACCCTTCATTTTTCTGGCCTGGCCTTCACTTGATAGATTTGGAAGGTGACTTAGCATACAGGGGAGCACTTTCACTTGCTAGCACTGCTGAGATAAATGCGGCAGTTTTTCCTGGTGGTTGGTGATTTGGTGTTTCTAGCTGGGGGAGGTATTTTTTTTACCTGAAAGAGCAGTCTCCTCACTGCGGCAGTCCTTTTCAGGCAGCCAGGTCCAGGCAGAAAGTGTCTCAATCCCTTCCTTTGGACATGAAAACTCTCTCAGGTGGTGTTAGGCCAAGAAAAATAAATATGGGTAAAACAAATGTGACACTCAGTGCTCTCCTGTATGGTTTCACGAGTGGTGCTAGCATAGCGCTAGTTTAGTCCTTCTCTGCTTGGAAATGGATTGACCTGAGGGCTTCTCCCTGGAAAGACGGAAGGATTCAAATCTGTTTCATACAGGTACTATGAGGCTTTAGTTAATGAGTGAAGTCGGTCACTAGGTGTTTTAGCAAAGCAACAGGAAACTTTCTAGGAGGTTGAGACATTTGCTCAGCTCTATAGAAAAAGGGACATATGGCAAGTTGAGATAATCTGTGGAGCACAATGGGAGGTGCTGCCTCTTTCTCAACAGTAGCTAGGCAGGGTTCAAGGTCAGCCATGACACTGTTGCCTCAGAGCTATCTGCAGGTCTCCTCCCAGTCTGTGGGAGTTGTTGCCAGGCTCTTTCAGTGTGAAAGCAAAGAGCTAGCCACAGTTTTGGATAGCTGTCCAGAAGGAAGCATTATGGAGACCAGGAACAGATTATCCCAGTCTCAGTTTTAGCAACTACAGGAAAAGCTGGAACAGGAATGAAATCCATTGCCTACTTCAGATTGCAACATTTCTCTGTTGGAGAACTTATTTTTCACTTCACAATGATTTCACCAGCTCTGTAATTTAAGCAGATTTTAAATTTCATCCTGGCTGTGGGGCTTTCAGAGGTGAGGCATCCCCCTGCTGTCAGGACTGAGAGGTCTGGTTCTGCCCCGACTGCAAGCAGGCTGAAGTATCCCTCATAACCAGTCTGTGGAGCTTGTTGGTCCAAGATGGAGCGTGCTGGTGAGCTCCGATCATGTTCCTGTTATCCGGGATGCTCTGTGTTTGTGGGGATCAGATGATGATAGCATCTGGAGGCCTCAGTGAAGATCAAGACTGGGTGTTCTTCAAGCAGCACCAAGCATGGGAAGATGTTGCGACAGGGTCACATGATTACACAGCCACCCAGAGGGCACCATGGATAGATTTGAACTGTTGTCTTTCTTCAGATGCAGATGAAGCGATGTTTCATGTTTCTAGACTGGGGAATTGCAGGGGAGGTGGGGTACCACTTGGTAGGAGGGTGTGCCGGCCACTTCTTGGATGTGTGGAGGACACACACATTGCAGTAGTGGGTGGAGTGCCCACCCACACACCTGTGGGCTGTGCAGTCTGAGGATCAGTGACCATCACTCGTGCTGCCTCTGTGATGCGTGGCCTTCAGGTGCTTTGAACTTGGATAGCTCTGTTCTAGACTATGCCACCGAGCCATTATTGACGTAAACCAAGCTCTAGCTGTCCGGGCTGCGATGAAATAGCACCCCGATGCTTGTAGATTGGGAAACAGAAAGATCCCCCTTGCTGCTTGCATCCTGTGCTGAGCAGCCATAAATAGCAACTTCCTAACAAATCTTGTACTCCAAGTTCCATGATTGCAAACCAGAGACTTATTTTTTTCCCTTTCTTTTCCCTCCAGTGGCTTAATGAAGCAAAAGTAATTCAAAGACTTGTGGAGCTGATCCATTCAAGCCAGGATGAGGATGTGAGTATGATGAGAGTGATTTTTTTTTTGTGGTAAAATGAAGATCTGGTGTGAAAGGATGGACCCTTGGGTGTCTTATGCTTGATGTAACGCCTGTTTTTCTAGTGCAAGGAGAATAACTATAGAGAATGTGTTTAGTAGTATGAGGATAGTGCTAGAAAGTCTCAATTAAAGAGGCTTTCTTCATTCGCTAGAGTCTAGTTTCCTGTTTATTCTTAGCCTAGCTCTGTATTTATTTAATGTTGGATTGTTTTCTATGGTCAGTGATAACTGAGGTTTAATTAAGAACATGCTTCTGGAAGCTGCCTGTTGAAAGACTTTGAAAACTAACTGGCTTCTTCTGGGGGTATTTTTGGTCCTCTTCAAGCCAAAAAAATTATTGATTTAGTATTGTCCTGAAATCTGCAAGATGCACTTCTTTGCACTACTTCCAGGCTATTCAAGTCATATGTGCCAGATTTTAAATCACCCAGATTGAAAAGGACAGACAGGATGTTCCATCTTTTTTTTTTCCTAATCATTTCTGCAAAACATTCTAACCTAGGAGCTGTGGATCTTGGTCTGTTACATCAGCACCTCCCATCTGACTGTGGTTACCAGTGCTGACATTTAAGATCAGGAAACACGAGGATAATTTTTGATCTGTATTTCAGCTGGTTGTATTTGATTTGGCTATTTGCTAACAAATTATCACAGCTGCCAGCAGCAGAATGAATTTGATGGCTGCACAATGATTTTCTTATTATGCTGTTAATGTTTTGCTGGAAGGGGTTACATTCTGCTATCATCATGGTAGAAACTGCCCCACTGAGAAAATAGAAGGGAAGTAGCTCATAGCATATGGACTTGCTTATCTTTTATAATGCTGTCCCTTAGGTGGAGGCTACAGATGGCCTTGTACAGAGTCTAAAGAAATGGCTTTGATTAGTAATCACGTAGTCTACCACAGAATCTATCACAAATACTGCAATTGAAGCTTTAACCAAAAAGGGAAAGAAAAACCCTTCACTGTTTATTTAAAAAAAAACAACAAACTCTAACAAAAAATTACAATTGAGTTTAATTTCAGAGTTCAGGAGCACCCCTCCCCTCACCTTAATTCTGAAATCTCTGGTAATTGTGTTGTGGATATAAATGATGATTTGAGGATACAAACTTGGAATGGAAGCTTATTCATTAAGGCATAGTAAATTAGATTTTTCACATTATTGTGCAGTCGTATAGCATTTGTTCTGAGGGATTCTCATTTGCTGAGTTACATGCACTGCTGGCTGCAGTTCTGTTCCTGCCCAATTACATGATAGTTTCTCTGGAAGCCAGGAGAATCCAAGCTGTGCAGTTAGTACTTACATTTGACCTTTTCCTGTTATTTACAGAGGCAATCAAATGCTTCCCAGACCTTGTGTGATATCATAAGATTGAGCAGAGACCAGAGCAACCAGCTACAGGACATACCTGAGCCTGACCCACTTCTCACAGCACTGGAATCGTAAGTACATGCCAGAGGGATGTCACTAAACTGGTAATTGCTGCTGGTAATGTAATTTCCTGAGAAGTCATTGGAAGTACTAATTATGCAGCCAGTATCCAACTTCGGCCATGCTCCTGACAATTCCTGTAACTACTTGTATTTAATATTGTCGTTACATCATGGCAGCACCTAAAGGTCTTGTTTGAGACCAACTGCCATTGGCATTATACCAGCATGAAAGAAAACACAGTCTCCACCTGATAAAGCTTCCAGTGTTATTGACTGAAGATAAGACACTGCTAGCAAGTGCACTAAACAATAGTGACAACCAGGGAAGAAGGATTAGTTGTAACAGCAATAAGATCTGAAGGAAACCCCCTCTGCATTTGGCTTCTTAGTCTGCTCCTTGGGCCTGACAGTGAGTTGCAGTATGTCATCTCTCAATCACATTTACAGAGGATCTTCTAGATTCCAAGCCTGTAAAGACACGTCGCCCTCTAGGCTGGTTTCACATCATCAAGCCCCTGTTCTCCACCAAACTGCAGCAACAGCAAGACATTTTCTCAAGCTAATAGGTCACGTGGCATTGTACACACCCCAACTTTGTAGACTACAGCATCACTCTCGCCAGCCCATGAAACGTCAGGTGTTGACTCTCCTTTTACGATCCTGACTCCTGTTCTTGGTAGATGAATTCCCACATGGCCTACAAAGGAGTTGCTAGAGGATTGTTCTCTTCTGAGAAAATCCACAGCAAGTACAGATGTTCTCTTTCCCAGGAGAAACTTTCTTGAGAGTGATTTAACCTTGGTTCCTCCCAGGTTATTTTCTCCTGGATTGGCCATTTTTACTTCGGGAGAAAAAGCCTGAACATCTGGACACTTGTGGTTTCTCATGGGAGAGCAGCAACTCTCCCAGGAGAAACTGAATGTCTGTATGAAGCCTAGCTCTGCTGGGATTCAGAACTAGTTTTAACTGCCCACGATAGATTGGGGCACAAGGACTTACAGGGCACATGCATGTCTCCAGTCCACACCGCTGGTGAAGGGATATGATCTTGAACTAATGGGGGATATGTATCCTATAGGTGGGATTAATATCGCCAACCACTATGAAGAATCATAGTCTTTGTAGAGTAAACATTTTTAATTAAGGCTGCCCTTGTAGCCTTAGCTTGGTTGCTTCATTCTTAAGCATTATGATAGTAGTCTCTAAAACATGTTTATGTGTACTACCTTATTCATGGGACCTGATGCATTCAGTGAATATTGAATATTTCTTCTTGTTTATGGTGTGGCTTTCACTGAATGTTAATATATGCCATTCATGGCCTAGGCTCAGTGCAAACTTAATAATGTTCTCTTGAATGCGGCTGTGATCTTGCCTTACTCTCAGGACACTTCCACAGTTAGATAACTTCACATCCCCCCGCCCTCCCCTTCCTGCCTGGCTATTATTAAAGCCCAAATGGTCAAAATTGTCTGTTAGTTTTTGGTGCCTAAATTGAGACACGGAGACCCTGAAAGGTCAGGGAACTCGATATCTTTGTTTCTATTACTGTTTCCAAAGCATACCTCTGATCAGTTTGTATTGCAGGTGTCTGTGTTTGGCCCTTGGGGTCTCATGTGGGCACCCACAAAACAGTGAACACTTAGTGCCCAGCTGTGAACATCTGGTCTACGGGATTTGCCCTGCACTACACAGGAACATTCAGGGAGGGGCTGCAATAGAATTTCGTTCTCTAAGCTTAGATTGTGGTCACTGTCCTGAGCCAAGAGACTATGCTTTCCTTTCCTGCAGCCCTGAACTCACTTGTGGCATACACTTCTGCTTCTGCAACAAATGAGCCAGGGGTCCTAAACACTAGTTGTATAGACTCTATTTCTCCCTGGAGTACAGCCCATGCTGCATTAAATAGACTGATGGCCTGTGAAGAAAAAAAGTATATGATCATGTAATTTAACTTATGAGGAGGGGCTGAGGGAACTGGGCTTATTTAGTTTGGAGAAGAGAAGACCAAGAGGGGATTTAATAGCAGCCGTCAGCTCCCTGCAGCAGGTCTGCAAAGAGGATGGAGCTGGACTGTTCTCAGTGGGGGCAGATGACAGGACAAGGAGCAATGGGCTCCAGTTGCAGCAAGGGACATTTAGGCTGGATATTAGAAAAAAAACTTTGTCACTAGGAGGGTGGTGAAGCACTGGAACAAGTTATGTAGACTGTCCACCCTTGGAGCTTTTTACAATCTAGCCCGACAAAGCCTTGGCTGGGGTGATGTAGCTGGGGCTGGTCCTGCACATGAACAGAGGCTGTCCCTAGTCTGTTCTTGGGTATTCTCCTCAGTTGAGAGCTCCGGTGCCTAACTGCAGACAGTCCCCTAGCTTTAACAAACAGTGGAAAGAAACTGAATAGTTCTTGTCACTTCCACTACACACAAGGTTTGAAAAGCTACAGTGAAAAGCGACAAGTCTCTAGTGAGTTCATTCTGCTGCAGAGTGGCCAGACCAGGAACAGCCACAGATATAGTGGGTCTGGGGATCTGCAAACTGAAGACATTTGTTATGTTTGCTTCATATTTCGAAGGTTTATTTTACAGCCGTAAATGGCTAGAGAGGTTAGGTGCCGCTGACTTGTTCTGTTGAATCAAACATGCGGAGGAGACTCCAAGAAGTTTTTGTACGGCACTCATCACTGCAGGATCTGAGCACGTCCCACTAATGCACTGAGCAACAGATGTAACACCCATCAAGCATTTGTTCTTTATTCTCTCATCATCTCCAGAGGGAAAAGCAGACGCAGTACAGTTCAACATTTTGGTAGCATTTTTTTCTTGTTAGAATAATAGAATCTTAGACAATGAGGGCTGGAAGGGAGCTCAGGAGGTCACATCTAGTCCAGCCGTCTGCTTAAAGCAGGATCAGTTCCAACTAGCTTATTCCAGCCAGGGCTTTGTCAAGCTGGGCCTTAAAAACCTCCAAGGATGGAGACTCCATCTCTCTAAGTAACCCGTTCCACTGCTTCACCACTCTCCTAGTGAGAAAGTTTTGCCTAATATCCAACCTAAACCTTCCAGCCCTACTATGCTGATCTCTGATTTTGAAGGAAATATTAAGTCAGACTAAGGGGAGAGCTCATCTGAGGACACAAAGGCAAGTTCTGTTTGTTCCCTGCAGCAGCAGCAGGCGTGGACCTGAAGCACACGGGAAGACACGTTCCCACACACTGAGTCGGGAGAGGACATCAACCTGCCCTTGAAGAGCAAAGCTGTTCAAGGGACTCCTGCAGCTCACCACACAGCACCGCATTCCACATGTGGGAAAGCACAGAGGCCTTCAAAGAATCCCCCTATGTTTCATTTCAATACTTGAGGACAAGACTCACTCATTTTAAGTCCTACTCTGACCCACTTTTGTCAAAATAATGCCTTTTGGCATAAAAAGCTCATATTCAAGCTCAAAACCGAAGTGAATATTTTTAGGTTTGAGGCAAATAATTATTGAATAGCTTTGCAAAGGAAGGACTGAAAGTGCTGACATGAATAATTTAAAATTGGAATGGAAAAAATATTTGAGAACACATTGTAGGAAATGATCCTGTAGTGCTGAGGGAATGGACTAGATGAACTAACAGTTCCTTTTCATCTCTAATTTCTGTGATCCCATTAAGTCATATGCAAGCAGCTTTAGTCACAGGGCTTTGAAAAATTTAACGTTTTCTGATTTGGAAAGTGTCTAATGTTGTTTGAGAAGCTGTAGGTCGAGAAGGGTTTGCTTTTCCTAGGTCAAATTTCTCATGAGTGTGTTTCATCCAACACAGTCGTACAGAGACCAGCTGTGGGGGGGAAAATATCATTTAAAAGTTCCAGTGCAAGACAATGGGGACATGCAACAGCGAGCTCCGAAGAAGTATTGGACATGCAAAGTCAGCCGAAAGCAGGAGCTCGTATGAAGCACCGTTACAAAAAAGGGACTTTTATCAAGAAAGTAGCATGCCAAAGGGGCCACTGCTACAGACTTGAAGGGCTATTCTGGAATACTGCACACTGAGACACTGTGAGGCTATTTATTGGTATAGTCCACATCCTAAATTTGAGCCCTGCTCTGGTATTTATGTCCCTGTTTAATTAATTGGAGATCTCTGCTGTGGATGTGCAGTTCTCAAATTCTACTAATGACCCAAGGTAGGAACCAGTACATTTCCACATAATGCTGGAATTGGTTTCCTTCCCACCAAGTTGCTTTTTTAAAAACCTGGGAAGTTACATCCACAATCCTGCACTAAACATGAACATTTAGAAAAAGCCAAGCACATAAAAAGGAGTAAGTGCTCGATTTAAGACTGCCCATGTCTGCAATCTGACAATCTTAATCATAGAATCATAGCAAATGAGGGTTGGAAGGGACCTTAAGAAGTCATCTAGTTGAACCCCCTGCTCAGAGCCCCAGGTAGATCACCCCAGCTAAGGG